ATTATGGAAAAATAACAGAAAATCTAAAGGAGCTTGAAAGAAAAAAAAAGAGATCGAGTGAAAGCAGCTTTCTGATTATGCCTGATTATTTCCGTTTCAGGTGATCGGATTCCCAGGGAACACATCTCTTTCTTCCCTTTTCAGACCAGGTGTCATTCCATTGACTTTCAAAAAATAAAGATTCTTTGTTTTAGTGTAGTATTTGACAAGTGACATTAAAATGGATGTGACTTAAACCAATTCTCTTATTATCGGGAAATGAAACGTGACCTTAAGAAAAAACCCGAAACAGATTTTCTAAAATAGTGAGGTCTATTAGTCAATTATTAGACAGTTGTTTTTAGGTCGTTATATATCCCAGTGTACCGTATCCTGTCGATATATTCCCATTGAAACAGTTACGTTTTGTTAGTTAACGGCAGCATTCATTTTTAAGGGGGGGAGGGAGGGGGAGCAGAGAAAATAAGGGGGTATCTAATACTTACAAGTGAAAAAAGGGGTCATTGAATTTTTCTGGTAATGACCTTGTATTTTTGCATTTTTTCCAGTTAGGTATTACGGGGCCATTTTAAGATTTCAAAACTAAGATGGGAAAGCTTATATTGAGAGCAAGATAATGTTAATAGCTATTTCTCCCTCCCCTTCTCCTTCTAAAAAATGGATGCTTCCTAAAGACATACAATGAAAAATAAAACTCAACAAAAAAATAAATTTGCCAAATATTTCTGATATGAATGAAATAATGGTCTTGAAGTTGAGGTTGGAGTTCATGTGTTCATACATTTAGTATATTTTGTCAAGTTCAACCTCAACTTGGTACTACTGTTTCCTGGTCACTCAAGGAAATTCGGAAAAGATATATTGAACCACACATATATATTCGTTGTTGTTGGCGATGGAAAATATTTCCTTTGGAACMAAATTTTTCTTGCGAGCGCTTTGATCAACATCTTCGTGTTTCTAGCGCTGGAAATACATAGAGGATAATTTACGGTGCCGCGAAGATAAGTTTATCTTCAAGCGGTAAAATATTTTTCAACACGAGAAGATAAACTTCATATCTTCAAGCCAACGCGTAATTTTCTTCTTATTATATAGACACATTCACAAACAAAAACTTGTTAAAAACATTGACGTCATGGACGGATATGACGTCATAGATATTTTCGCTAGTGAGGATATGGGAAATATTACATGAGGTCCCGGATGTAGTTCGTACGAAAGATACGAGGGGCGTATTTCCCAGTAAAACACTAACGTCAACATAATACAATCACAGTCAAGACCATTCAAATATACTCACGAGCGCACATACAGATCTCTGTTCTTTAATTGACACTTTGAGATAGTCGGTCCGAGTAGATAAACCAATCTAAAATTGAATAAGATTCAATTATGCATTTTTTCTTTAAATATCTCTTATATGCTGCTCAGAGAAATTCTCTTTTTACCTCAGCTGCTTTGATTCGTGGTAGTTTGTGGCAAAATGTTTCTTCAAAAATGCAAAAACTTAGTTGGTTTTTATATGGCTCAGTACAGACTTAGACTTGAAAAAAAAAATCATGAACTTTTCACTGAAGTACAAAAGTATATATTACCTACAAACCGTTTTTTGTTCACCAAAGATTAAGTATTTTTTCATTTCCTGTTTTCATCCGATTTCGCTTTTGCTAGTTTAATTTTCTTTCTTCGTACTGTAAATATTATGGATGTGAGCCCCCTTGTTAAGCTTTACAGCTTTTGGGGCAAATGTTTAGTCAAATATGTTTAAATAAATAAAAAAATCTAAAATACATGAAAGTAACTTGCTCAGGTATCGTATGTGCGGTACAGTTAACAACCTTTTATCATACACTTATTTCAATAAAGTTAGTCACCAAAAACCTAGAAAGCTGAGATCACTGAGCATCATGGGAAACTTTTCATATCAAAAAAGCATAAGTATACAAAGCTTTTTTGATACAAACTGCAGCTTGATGATGCTCAGAAGAGGTGAGACTGTAACCGGTAAAAGATTCGCAARTCCATGAACAGCTATCAAGCGGTTGAACATGTAAAATGAATCTACCAATAATCCTTTCGGCCTCAGCTTTATAGCTTTTCAAGTGACTAACTTTATTGAAATAAGTGTATATTTGTACAGATGTATTAAAACTATATCGCAGTAGACGTAAACGGTGTTGACAGATTAATATGGCTCTATTACATATATTGTGAGATTATTAAGGTTTTTTCTCGTAATGTTAATTCAATAAATTAATATACCACTTTAACCCATTTATCTATTTACTGCTTATGAATTCATTTAGTGATTATCAAGTAGTTTGTGGATTCAAACATTCATTCGTTCAATGTTAACTACCCACTCACGTATTTATTTATTTGTTAATTTACTCAAGAGTCGATCGATTCATTTAATTATTTCATTGCAGTCGCTAATTTCTTCACTTCTTTTATTAATCTATTTATTTAATCATTCATCCATTCAATCATTTATCCTTCCATTCAATCATTCATCCATCCATTCAATCATTCATCCATCCATTCAATTATTCATCCTTCCATTCAATTATTCATCAATCCATTCAATCATTCATCCATCCATTTATTCACTTATTTATTCATTCATCCATCTATCCCATCCACCCATCCATTTATTTGTTCGCTTATTCATTTCTGTATTCATTTCTACATTACTTTATTTGTTTGCTTATTCGTTCATGCATCCACGCAATCATTCTTCCATCCATTTATTCACTTATTTATTCATTCATCCATCTATCGAATGCATCCATACATTTATTTGTTCCTATATTCGCCATCTATTCCTTCATTCCTTCAAACATTCATTTATTTATTTCTACATACATTTGTTCGTTACTTAATTTGTTTTCTTATTCATCAATCCGTCCATCCATTTATTTGTTCCTATATTCGCCATCTATTCCTTCATTCCTTCAAACATTCATTTATTTATTTCTACATACATTTGTTCGTTACTTAATTTGTTTTCTTATTCATCAATCCGTCCATCCATTTATTTGTTCCTATATTCGCCATCTATTCCTTCATTCCTTCAAACATTCTTTTGATTCATTTCTCCATTTATTTGTTCGTTACATTCATCCATCCATCC